TTGGTGTCGATGAAATGATAGGTATGTCATCGGAAAAAAAGAGTATCGGCAGCTTTATCGGGCGATTTCACGCGTGTGTCATCTGCAGCCGATATACAAATACATTCATCTTCCGATATATTGTCCGATGAATCGGGTTAAAATCGCTACTAGATACATAACTAGATACATCTAGAAAAGAATCGGCTGTATCTAGATGTATTGGCCGATAACCCGATTCAACTTTTTCTCTTTTTTACGCATTTAGATGTATCGCGTTTTTTATCTAGTATATCTAGCTGCACCGGGCGATACGCGATACATTTTTCATGCTTGATTGGTGATACCCACGATGATACTCGGACATACTCATAATTTTTTGAAAATATATTCAAGAAATCCCTGTTTTATTACTAAATTTCAGATTCACCAAGGCGTATTTCAAATTTGAATTACGGCTAGGCTAATTTAAACACGCCTAGGCGTAACTAAAATTTGAAATACATCTACGCTGATTTAAAATATACGTAAATTTGAACTATGTCTGTAACATATATCTATACAGATTTTATCTTCAGTGAAAAAGATGAGAAAATGCACCTAACATGCCTTCATTACGCGCGCTGGATGCATTTCGAAGCTATCGTTGTGCTTCATCACGATACTTTTTTTTGACAAATTTATACAGATTTTTTCTCCTGATTTAATCCAATTTCAGAAAACGAACAACAAGTTTTTCGAATACTTTTTCTGTCATAGAAGTTCAGCAACACGAAAATAAGTCTCGCATTTCGTTTTCTTTTCTTAGCATCATCGCACCTGTATGCGTAAAAAGGTTCTAGAGAGTCGAAAGTAGGGATGTCACTTTACTGTTTCTTTACTAGTAACGAGAAATGTTTAAAAGTTACTTTTTACTAGAAGCGGTAACTCTTTTCGTTATTTGTTTACCAGTTACTAGTAAGTAATTTAGTTACTCTGTTACTTTTTACCTCTAAGAGTAACAAAAAAAGTTACTTTTTACTAGTAAGTGGTAACAAGAAAACAGTTACTTTGTTACAGTTAACAGTTACCTTTGTACGCATACAGGTGCGATGATGCTAAAAAAAGAAAATGGAATGCGAGACTTATTTTCGTATTGCTGAACAGAAAAACTGTTCGAAAAACTCGTTGTTCGTTTTCTGAAATTGATTTAAATCAGGAGAAAAAATGCATCTGTCATAAAAAAAGTATCGTGATAAAGTACAACGAAAGTTATATAACTCTACCCGAACCGGACACATAAGAGGACTGAGTTTCTGAGAAACTGATGCACGTTGGATAGTAAATTCCTCGAATAGACCGCTTTTTAGTTTGTACAGTACGGTTGCTAAACAAAACTTGAAAGTATGCGAACTACAGTCTGGTTAAAGAAAGAGACTTTTTGGGTAATTAAATAACTGTTCAAGGGAAGTTGAGAAAACGATGTTTCAGTTTTATAAATGAAAAAAGATCCTTTGTCCGAATATCACACTTGTGAGCACGTGAAATTTCCGGTGCACGGAAAAATCCCGTTTTTATGGGTTTGTTGCTCATTTTTCACGAAAAATACTTCTTTTTTGAAGTTAATCTTTTGTTAACGTTCCACATGATAAAATTAGTCTGTTTTAACTTTTAGGGTCACGTGGCGCAATTAGAACATGGTCAAAACGTTTTGCAGTATTTTTCTCGAAAGCTTAGAAGTTATCACAAAAGTTGTAGACGAGAGTAGTAGGCACCGAATGGTGCAAAAATCAATCAATGATTTTTGCACTCTTTGTATTCGACATTTTTCGTGAAAATCTAAGAAAAATAAGTTATTCTGAAGATATAGCCTTTTTTTGTTGAAAAATCTCACTTCTTTAAAATAACTGCTTTTCTTAAGGGGGTTCCACTCTCCAGAATATGCCCTCAACCTATGTCAGTTTGAAGAGGACATCTGATTACACTAATCCTACAGTTTTTTCCATGAACTGATAACTATTCATAGAGTTATTAATTAATTAAGTTTAAATTTAATTAAACTTTCGATTTCGATGGTATTGTAAAATAATTCATTATATTTTGTTCGAATGTCTGATCACCGTCACGGTAGAGTTATATTGTAGACAATCTTTCGTTGTATATAATATGCTTTGAAAAGTTTTCGAACGACATAGGTCTTTTAAATGAAACATTGTAAAAAGAGTGTTATTTCTACTTTTAAGGTTAAAAAGTAATTTTTGAAAATCTTGCCAGCGATTGCGCGATAACAAAGAATATCCGAGAAAAACTTTCGCTGACGAAGTTGTAGCTGATGTCATTCTGCATGGACCAAGCTGTCACGGTACATTGACTTTCCAAAGGACACAAGCGCATGATGAAACAGTTCTCTTAATCGTTTTCTAAAGAACCTTGTATCGATGGTGTGAATAGTTAATGGTGAATGTGTTAACAGTTAATGTGTTAATAGTTAATGGTGAATGTGTTAACACATTCACCACGATTCGTTTTTCTTAGAAAACTTCTTCCAAATGCTCATTTCTTTAAGAATTAACTTCTAATAAATGCACTTAGTGATCTTTTCATTATCTTCGTACGATTATTCATTGTTTTCTTCATTGTATCATCACGTAATGAGTCACTTTGGCAATGGTATGAAAAATCCCTCAAGTTATTCTTGCGTTCTTTTGCAAGTAATATATTCCTGGAAAAGCACACAAGTACGGCATAAAGATGTACAAACTAGCAGCAACCAATGGGTACACCTGAAATTGTATGATTTACACTGGTCAGCAAGATCCCATGGCAGCATGTTTGAGCATGCTGATGCTCACAAGTTGTGCTAGAGTACAACGAAGGAAGGCAAGGTGCTGATTTATCTGATCAGCTATCGGCATATTACATATCCTTCAGGCGGTCAATAAAGTGGTGCCGAAAAGTAGCATTTGAACTGGTTTTTGGGGCGGCGTTAGTAAATAGGTATTTGATATATAAGGAAACTTACGCTACCAGCAAAGTGACCATTCTGCAGTTTCGCGAAAGTCTTGTCCGATCTTTATTACTTGGCATGCCATTCGAGAAGCTACAGTCGGGTCCGAGACAAACGTCAACAGCTCAAACGAAGCGCAAACGTGCTGATCACAAGCTCGAAGAAAAAGAAGATATGCTCGCGATGTCCGACGACGCTGTGCTGGCTGTTATGAGGAAATTAGAAAACAAGAATCAAGAGAAGCAAGCGCGATGGCGGTAAGAAGAATAAAAACTTTCTGATCTGATTGCGACAAATTCTTTTATCTGGATTGCTTTAATGAAAAGCATCACTCTACATAATAAAATAATTAAAGCATTCGCGATCAGGGAATCAGTGAAGAAGTAACTGTCTCTCTTTACTTAGGGAAGAGAAGCAAAGAAAACAGTTCTTTTATCGTTTTTCTCGTTAGAACATACCGTGAGCCACCGGTGGCTCACATCGTGCTGAATGGGTTAACACTTGTTGCTCTATTCATTCAATATCGACAATTATAATATTTACACAAGCCAAAAATGAAATGGCTCTAAATACTTCCTTATCAATTAACGTTTTAAAGTACTTATTTCTACACAAAATTTACGTTCAAAAGCCATCACTGTTTCTAATTCGATCACATAATTTTTATTATACATAATACAAGACTGATATTTTATAGACAATAAAGTATAATGGCAGGAGAGATAAATTTATATTTCTGTAAATATACCGGCTAGACTGACGTAAAGCAAACCGTCTGTTTTTTTTATTGTTGTTGTAGTTCACTTAAGCAAGAGAATGTGTAAGATTTACTAGTCTAGTCACTGTTGTATCTTAAACGTTATTTTTTAAACGCTATTGAATTGTTGAGCAAGTATGGCACGTAATTATAAGAAAAAAATTCTGGGCAGCAATGTGATAGCAAAGCATTGGAAGAAGCAGTTGAATTTGTAAAAAATGGAGTAATCGAGTAGCTGCTAGTAAAAGATTTGGAATACCTGCTCCTACGATTCGGAAACATAAATTGTACAATTCTGCCATTGGTGCTGGACGAGAAACAGCGTTAGCCCATGAATACGAAGATACCAAAGTCAAAATTCTAGTAGCTTACGACGAATGGGGCTATCCAAGATCATGTCGTGAGACATTGGATTTAGTAAAACAATTTGTATAAGAAATGGGTTTATCAAAAAAATTCACTGACGGCAGTCCTGGCGTTGAATGGTTAAGATTATTTCTAACACACTGAAAAACCGAGCTAACACAACGTGCAAGCATCATTCTGAGAAAAAGTCGAGCCGTATCTTTAACAAAGCAACGTGCTGATGTATGGTTTCAGACTTTTGAGCAAAAACCTAATCAACTAGGTGTGAGAGATCGCCCTTCTCAGATTTTCAATAAATATGAAACAGGTTTTCTGGATGATCCAGGAAAGAAAACAGTAACTGTGAAAAACAAACGAAGACGACATTCACACAGAATTCACATTGGAACAGCTAAACATGACGACCCTATCTTACATCAGTGAGCATCTGATAGGAAAAGTACACAACAGCATCGCTACAACGTTGTGCAGCGTAAGAATGAAGCCACTATCACAGTTTTTTATCTATCTACGTTGGTACATCAACGGGAGGCAGCGATATAGTTGGACCAAGAGATGTATTGACGAACAGAAGTTGCGCGAGAGCTGATTTGAGTTAATTTTGTTAAAAGATTATTAAAACTGATTTATTTTATCAGAAAATTGATTAAAATCAGTTAATTTTACGAATAATTCTAATCGATTGTCTAAAAACCCGTTTATATTGCCTGTACGGACAAAAATTAATTAAAATAGAAAATAAAATAAATTAATAGAAAATCGCTTGAAGAAGCAACCTAATTTTAACCAGCTTTCTTCAGGAAAGTCGATTTTGGACAAAAAAACTCATTAAAGTTGTTTTCATTAAATCGAGAAAAATCGCTTAAAAATGGCTGATCTTTCTCTTAGTCTGGTAATATTTAGTTTTAGTCTTTTCTCTTCCATCAACAAATGGCTTCTGTAAATGTTGACTCCGGAAAAAAAACGCCTTTATATGTAACAAAGAGACGATGAAAGCTATCTTATAATGTCATCCTTTTTCGTATCTTAGAAATTTTTCCTTTCAACAATAGGGTCGTAGAAAATATTTCCATCACGAAGAAAACGTCTTTTGTTCTATAAATAACTCGACAACGTGCTGCTAGTTTCTATTTTATGATTGATTGTGTGAAGTCATTTCTTATTTTATTAATTACTTTTAATCTAACCTGTCGAATTACTGATTCGTCATCATAACAATAACTACAAAAACAAATTTTAATGTCTTTCCCTTTATTGATTGAGTGGTTTTAACTGTTTTAAATTTTAATATTGTGTAACTCTGATGATGAATTAGTGATCCGAAAGCTTAGATTAGAAGGAATTCTTCACCAAAATAAGAAATGAATGTAGCTGCAATCAATCATAAAGTGGAAACTTATATGACAAAAGTCGTGTCAATAACAAAAGTCAATAGATCGAGTATAGTTGTGTCAGACCTGGAAGCATCATCACAAAAGCGATTTGCGGGTTTGTGCCATTCGCAGGCTTCTTGTAAGTACTCTCTACGTACAAAGCTGACAAATTAGTACTAGCCATATGGCATAAAAACTAGTTTCACTGTTGTGCTATTCAAAAGCGAGAGCTCTCTCGAACGTGAGCTCGTACTGAACTCAGTTTTACAATGACACCTACAACAGTTGATCGAAAATTTCAGTTCGACCTCCTGGTTACGTTTATCGATATAGAAGTCAAAAATGTTGGGTAAAAATTTCTGGTACTATTGTCAGTCATCCATTGTATTATATAAAAATTAACTACTATCTAATTGCCAATCTATTGTTATTTTCTGATGGATACGTTACCGTATTTAGTCGTGTTGCATTTGGGTATGCACCGATATCGGTAGTCAATTTATTATATCAAAACTGAAGAGTATCATATGAACGGGATAGGATTTAAGGGGGCTTCTCAGGAATTCGATGTTTTCTTCGAAACCTTCGAAACTGAAGTAACCACACGGTTTAGTATCCCAAAATGTCATCTTTCAGAATCCATGTTAATTTGCCAAAAATTTAATGTTTTTGGAGAATTTGGAACGAGATTTCTGAAAGCCCTAAAAATCACCTTTTTCTAAATTTCACGTTTTAATTAAACTTTTTAAGGTTGTGCGTTTTAACAGACATGGAGCTATCTTGAGCAGAGTGTTCTGACCAGAATGAGATATTCAGCAGCTTTGTGCGACTTTGTCTTGTAGAGTTATACTAGTTTGACTAAAGGCGCTGAACTATAATTAATGAACTGATGTCTGACTTAAAATCCGTGTAGGGAATGAACAGAAGTGAAATTCAAAAATCGCCGCCGATTAAATTATAGATCTAGGTGTCTACTTTCATTTGAGGCCTCTCGTAGCTTTCTGCACCTTCCAATAAAAAAGTTATAACGCTTTTGCTATCCCATTTTGCCCCTTGACACGCAATAACTCGGCACCGCTTCAACATTTCGATTTCAAATTCTTAGTATAAGCTCGTAGGACAGTAAGCATTAGTCACTGCAAACGCCATCGAAATCGGATATAAGATAAAAAAGCTTTTCCTGAGGGGGGACCCCTTAACTGGTTCTGTGCGCTAACCAATTGAAATTCAAAATGGCTGACATGCCTAAAATTAAGCTAAGAGCTATTTTTTTTTCTCGAAAATAATATGAAAAAGTGCAGTTTTTTGCATGAGTTCTTGAGAAAAAACTCTAATTGGAATTTACGAGAAGAACAGACCCAAGTGTAAGGAAGAAATGCGAATTTGGTGCCAAATAGCTCTAATTAATTATCTGCGTTCTCTTAGTGTTTTCAATGAGATTTTTTCGCACAGCGTATGCGCGCTCTCTGTTTTCCAGCTGCAGTTTGTCGATACAATCTGATTCCTACCAGAAAGTGGGCAAACTCTGCAAGAAAAACGCTATAGCACTTAAAGATAAGAACAGCTTTTATTCGTAGGGACCTTTCGTCCATATAAAGGAGACCTAGTCACAAATTTTAGTGTCAAATATTTGTGCTGGAAGGCTAAGGTTTAAAGATGGACTGGACATCCTTTCTTTTGACGTGTTTCCATTGTTATAAATCTATTTGGATATTCTTAAGTAATAATCTGTGATGTTTGACGTCACCAAATGGGGAAAACGTTCTTCCTCCTTTTTGAACCGAAATCTTTCCAGTTTTGGAAAAATTTACTGAAAGTTTCTCCAATTTGAAAACTTTTTGCAAAAAGGTCACCGAATCACTCACTAATTTTCTCATAGTTTGACAGTCTTAAAATTTTCGCATTTCCTCTACTCTGGGATCTTCGCGATATCATAGTGCATTTTATGAATTAATTTCTCAAGTACCGATTCTACCCGGCCAGGTAACGTCGTTAGCATGACGGGTGCTAGTCCCTACTTGGAATTTCTGACATGACTTTCCGCCGCTGATAATGTGGTGAAAAAACTTTATCGGCGAATTATTGTAGTAGTTCTTCGAAGAGAAGTGCATCTGTTTTAAGTGCTCGAAAGTCTCTCTTTCTTATCCAAACGTTTTAGGTAAAACTAGTTAATTTTTGACTTAAAACTACTGTGCGCTTCAATAGGTTTTCCCCTATTAGTATTTTTCACTTTATTTCACTATTTTCTGTTCTTTTTTCAAAACCAAACCCATAGAAAGAAAGAGCAGACTCGACTGCATCTTTTGATCTAGGACAATCATGGATCAGATAGAAATCCACATCAAACAAAACAGCATTTTTTTTCACTACAATCTGCAAAATTAGACTCTCATATCCCTACTTTTTCTCTGCTTGCATGTAAATAGATGTGTGCATACGCAACTTTTATATGCACATTTGACAGCTCATTGTCAGATATTTCTATCCGCTTCATGAAAGGCTATGATTTTGACTTCGTATTCGGTATTGATATAGAAATATCTATATGAAATTTAGTCATAACCTGTCAAGCCAAGAATTGAAGGTCAAAGAAACACTGGACTTGTTCTGTGGCTAGTATTTATTTGTTCTTTTTCTCTCGTCAGTTTCGTTGCCTACTCCTATGTTAAACAATTAATTCTTGAACACAAATAGTCGTGCTATCTATTTATCGAATGGTTTCATACTGTTTCTGTCCACTGGTTCGATGATGGCAAAACACAGTAAATACACCAGTGATTTCAAACACAACGTTTTGCAACAATATCGTCCTGGAATTTACGGATGTGGGTTCAGATCATTAGCAAAGCGTTTTAAAATCAAAGGTGGTCATAAATTAATTATGAGCTGGTATGCCAGATGGAACGGCACCGTTGAATCCTTGGAACCAAAACGGACAGATGGTCGACCACGTACCATGACAAAAGATCAAGTAACGGATTACATTTTAAATTTTGTCGATGAGATGAACATGCAATACAAACCAGTGAATTACAGAATGACACAAGAACACGTTGAAAACTCATTAAATAAGCAATTTCCATTGAAAACGATTCAAAGATACGGTAAACAAGAATGTGGTATTAACAGCACTTTTCTTTCGCTATCGAAAAATAAAATCACAAGCGCATTTCGAAAATGTGCTACTACATATGGAGTCGATGTTTTTATGATAAACCATTTTGATGTAAATGCATTTTCTTTTAATATATTTCAGATGCAATAGCAAATGTAATGAAAAAAATGCTATGTTTTGTTTTGATCCGATTTTCTCGTTTCGATTTCTATCTGATCCATGATTGTCCTAGATCAAAAGGTGCAGTCGAGTCTGCTCTTTCTTTCTATGGGTTTAGTTTTGAAAAAAGAACAGAAAATAGTGAAATAAAGTGAAAAATACTAATAGGGGAAAACCTATTGAGGCGCATAGTACATATAGTCATGTGGCAGTGTGACGGACGTACATACAAACAGTCGTGTGGTAGTTTGCCGGAGGTACATACGCAGAATCGCTAATGAGTGGCATTGATATTGGTCCACAGAGGTATTGGCGTTCGAGGTTTATGTGGAATCAGGGAAGTGTAACACCTATCCTGGCTGCGAGCGCGGACCGAAGGAACGCATGAGCATTGTCTGTAATTTAGAAATTTTTTATACCTCGGTGGTCCTTTGGGGGCTTTCGAGAAACCTAGTATTGATTGAAGGTACTTTACGAAGTTGAGAGATCATGTCAGAGAAATAATCATAAGGCATGGTAGACAGTCTCTAGCACCGACCGAAGGGAGGTGTAAACGTTGTTTCGACTAACAAGGTCAAACTTTGCCCTGACTTAGATTTCTTTATCAAGAGTAAGAAGACTGATAGATCTGGTAATTTTACGTCCATTTCGAACATCTGTATGACAGTTAAAACTAAATCAAATTACAGAGTCTCGATGAACTATAGCAATTCTGCTAAACTTTTCTCACCGGTGAAAAGTTAAAGCAAGTGGTTCTGTAAACTAAGATGGAAAATATGAACGTTCTCATCGCGAAAAATATGCAGCAATTCTGTAGTAGCAAGATCGAGTTACAACAGAATGAATAATAATTCCGAGAGTACACTCAGTCGACTTACAGGTAATGGACCTAGTGAATTGGTGCGATTCACGTTATTTATTTATAGAAAATCCACAAAGATTTTCAAGATTCTTGAATCGATATTGAAGTTTATAGAAAATCAATCGATTTTCTCTAAAATTGAAAATAATTCAAGATTACAGTGTACGTGGTTTTTTGTCCTTAATATCATTTTACTTTTTTGGGGAATGTGTACCCTAGTCTTCTGTTCTTTTTCAATAATTTTGTACTGTTAGGACCCATATAGGATCATCAGTTATTTGCAAAAGAAAAACAAAAAGAAAAAATGTTGTACAAATTTTCTGCTACTACTTAATTATCAATCTATCATTGTTTTCTAATGGATACGGTACCGTCTTTGGTCGTGTTGCATTAGCTCTTAAATGTAAATAAGGTATTGCAAACCCAGACTATATAGTTTATAAAAGACTTTATAGCATACTTTAATTTAATAAGGCTTGAAGTTTTTACCGGATAAGAGCTCATTCTAGCATTAATTTATCTGTAGTAAAAGGCTCTATTGAATAAGCTCTTGTGTTTAATTCAATCCATTTCTAATCAGTATAAAAAAGCACAATAAATAAGCAGGAAGAAAAGCAAGAGTATATTGGTCAGACGTAAAGTTTAAATAAGTCACATTTCTCTCGTCTTAGTTAATCACATTTATATAAATATGAAACTCGACTTGAATAAGTATATTTAGTTAATTTTACAACCGCTTTCAGACAAAAGTCATTTCTGAAAGAAGCAAAACAAGATACCATCACCGATTTCGACCCTTCTCAAGTGTCTCGTTAGGTGGTTTCCTCCGAGAAAGACAGAGAGAGAAGGCATGACAAGCACCGCAAGTCCGTTCACACCGTATGAGAGTGTTGTATTCACTGTTCTTATCCAACAAAGAATAATAACTTTCACATAACGAGAGCGAAGCACGATATCACTGTACGTTGCACATGTTCTGCTTCCTCACAGTAAGCAGTTTTCTTCATTCTATCACAATGATTCATCCTTCAACATAAACTGTGTCTAACAACTTGCACTCAACAACCGTTGAGACAAATGCGAAAAACACCATGCTTATCGTTCGATCTTGGGAAGTGACCACTCATCTTCTTACCAATCGTAGTTTTGACACAAACACTTCGTTCTCATCGCGTGAAAGCTAAGAACAACGGATATAACGCGCTCATACGGTGTGAACGGAATTATGTTGCTGGTCGTGCGTTAACTCTCTCTGTCTCACGGGATCCTTGAGAGAGGTCGATCTGAGTTTCTAGTAACTGCTAAGCGGTTGTAAAACTAACGAAAAATAATTAATCACATTTGTTACGTATTATCTCAAATTTTTGGATACGATTAAACTGTAAATCGCTAACAATCAAGCTGCCATTGCTATCAAATCTGAAATCCTGTGGATACCCGAAATACCTTCCCCCCCATTTAGAACAACCGGCAATACATGTACCACCAGCTGTATAGTTTTGTGCCATCCATTTAACTATTCGATGATTATCCATTTCAGCCACATAAATATTTTCATTGCCATCAACAATGACAGCCACTGGCTTATTCAATTGAAATAGACTATTACCGTGTGTACCATTTCCAGCTACAGTTTCAGCAGTCATGTTACTACCAACTGGATGATATTTTTGAATACGATGATTTCCACTATCAGCAACATACAGAGCATCGTTCAACGAATCAACAAATATTCCTTGTGGATTGTGTAGATGGTGTGAATCGTCTCCATTCTCTCCACTTACACCAGCAATCAGAATTCCACTTTGTGCATTTGGTTCCCATTTAACAATTCGATGATTATGGCTATCCGCTATGTACAAATTTTTATTTTGATCCATGATAAAAATGCCGACACCGTCTAATTGATTCAAGCCATCACCCTTATGGCTACCACCAGCTACTCTCGCACTACCATTTGTGTTTGAAACTAATTTCACAATATTACCACTAGCTTCATCTCCAATATACACATTTTTTTCATTATCGACATAAACATTAGTTGGATCAAAAACACTGTTATCGGATTCCGCAACAACCACTTCTCCCTTTATACTACCTTGCTTAAATTTTAAAATACGTTTGTTTCCCCTATCTGCTACGTACAATGAATCGTTTTCATTCAAATCAACAAATATTCCTTGAGGACTATTAAGTAATGATAAATCGATAGATCCATCTGTCATAAATATGGTTACATTGCCGCTAATGATTACACCTCTTTCACTCCATGTCGCACATGAAGAGATATTGGGAAAATTTGTAATGACACTTGGACCTTAACCGAAAGATAGAAACAAGTGTTCATGTAAGGTAAGTAAATGGTATAAAAAAAGCCTGAGATTTATTCTGTCAACAAAGAAAGCTTTGTAATGCTCTTTTGTCAGTACTGTTTCAATTCACTTCCACTGAACGGATATAGATAGGCTAGGATGGCCTATCTACTATTTACGAATGAACTAATGAGAGAACATGTACCTGTAGAAGCGGATGATGTGCCTGCATTAAGGTTAGATAGTCCAGATATGACTCGATGTTAGCGCTTTTTTTTCAAGTTTCGAGCGGCGCCATTTCTATTCAATTTAGAAACAGCTTATTTATTGCACATAGAACGTTTGTTTATTTATTTTTTCTTTATCTGTCAAGCTTTTTTCGTTCCATCACAAATCACTGGCAAGTCTGCTGTTGCAGAGCTATAAGTTATTTATCGATAGGTAATGGGTTCTAATGAAGAGATATATGTACAACGTCTTTATATTTAAAGTGCAATGATATTTCAAAGAACAAAAGAATCTAACTCACTAGATGTTCTTGCCATAATAGACATTGATGCAGAATGCGTTTTACTATTAGCTGAAACATAAAACCTGCATAACTTCTTCTCTTTGGCATTGTGAAAAGCATAATCATCGTAGTTACAAGAAAAGTTGAGCAATTGTTTTCAATTGTCATCTATGTGACTAGATTTAAACGCTCAGAAAAGAAGAGTGTAGTTAACGAGTATGGATGAGTTGTCAGGTGAGTGTCAGATGGGTAATAAACTGTAGTTATTACTAGAGGCGCGGAATAAAAATCACTTTACTTTCGGTTGTGGGCATGAATAGCGTACTTTCGACTGTAGTAACAGGCTTTTGCTTTGTCGTTGTTGAAGATCCTGTAACGGAAAAAGCCACCATATCAAAACTTGCAAAAGTTCAGATCCGTTATTTTGCAACAACCTGCGGTAAAATTTGCGAGTCTCAGGTAACATCACACGCATGAATTCTTCTGCGTTTTTCTACAGAAACAAAAATTTGCGATAAACCGCAGATAAATGCCATCAATTATCATCCATAAAACATTATTGTGTGTAATTACACTAATACAGCTTTATGTATTTATCAGTCAATCCCCAGACAGGTTCATCCAACTCGCCCACAGGGAAACCTGGTGGCTCATCTCCAGATCTGCAGCCTCCTCCCAGCTAAGAGAAGTCAATTAGAAAAATGTTGCGCAAATTTCCAATGGAAAAGGAGAATTTATAGAAGTATAAGGTAGCACATATCCTGTTTTTTCAAATTATACACTAATATATACAATAGGCACTTTTTTCGCAAAAATTGTATTAAAAAACATACGCCGTATGACTCAAAAAAAAGATTCTACCACAAAAGACAAAATAGGTATTACTTTTTGTTGATTTTTGCAGCAAAAAAATACTGCTCAAAACGCACATAAGAAGCTTGATTATCCTGACGTTGTCTTACGAGGGAACTGCCCCAAGTGTCCGCTCGCTTTTTTCTTGAAACCTAGTGGAGAATAGGTTATCGACTATGCTGATTCCGAATATGACAATGGTTTTTGCTGCTAGGCCTTCGGAGACCTGGTT